CCTTGCTTGATGTGAGTCAAGAGGCCACTTCCATTTACCCTTCCTCCCTTCCAGGTTCCTCCTCCAGCAAATCCCCTTCAAACCAGCTGGTTTGTAAGGCCTAACATGAACAATTACTAGGGAGTGCAGTGATGTCTGTAAAGTTAAAAGTAGCTGGATCCTTCAGAAAGAGAAAAAAAACCAAAAATCCTGATACTGCAAGATACCAAGCTATTCTTTCTCACAATCATGTTTCATAAGGAACACTGAACTCAAAAAAATCATTGAAATTTTTGAAATTGTGCTTCGTGTAGAGATCCCAGCATGTTTACAAGCTTATTGGAGCCTGGGAAATAAAAAAAAACCTAAACACCCCCTTCCAAGTAAAGTCTTTAAAGAATCTGTTGTATCAACTGCAGGAAAATGAAAAAGGACCAAATCCGCCTTTAAGTCAGCCAAAATTCTTCTGGTCACTTCTATGGAAATATAAGTATTTATGTGTATGTGTTAATATTTCTATTAACTTTCCTTACTGCTACTAAAGTTTTGTTGAGATGATCTTTTTTCATTTTTAAATCAAAAGATCTTAGCAGTTGTGATGTCTCAAGCAAACCAAGATTATTTATTTATTTAGAGTCTCCCATTTAAACTCAGACTCTGCTCACACAAATTTGAATTTACTTTGGTATCATGGACACATCCATCCATCCATGATTAATTCCTAGTTTGTTTTTGCTCCTGCAGGTATTCCCTGTCCAATCATCATTGCCTGGGCCATTGGCAAGCTGTATTATGAAAATGAGCAGTAAGTGATGATAATATTTGTGTTTGTGTGGCTCTCTAAACAAATTAGGAAATGAATACACATCTGAACCATATCCCAGGTCACCTATTCCTGCTTCCACTGGCTGTGCATTTCCTTCTTCCTCGGTTTGAGGAGCTGCTCCTTGCTCAGCCATGCCCAGTCCCTGCCTGTCCTGCCTGATTTCTTACCCGTGGCATTGGAGGGCTCTTGTTCTCGAAGAAAAATGTCCCTAAAGAGCTGCCAGGTCTGATCAGTTCCTCTGTCCCCAAGGACAGGTTCCCAGGGGGATCCCATCCACTAATTCTTCAAACAGCTGGAAGTTCCTCTTCTAAACCCAAGGTCCTGACTTTGCTCCTTGCCAGAGCTTTTGTCCTTTTGTCCTGAGCACTGGAGAATCATGTGCTGCTCCCAGGAGGTCAGACCCTGCCAGCAAACATGGACTTGCTGCAGCTTCCAGGACTGTTTGGGACTGCCCAAAATTCAGGAAAAATGGGAAGTTCCTCTTTCTCCATCTGAGTATCCATTTAAGTTGTTTGGAGGCTGAGCTGGGGTTCAGGCTGTGTAGGTCATCATAGTTTGAAAACTCAAAATAGAAAGAATGTTAAGAAAATGCTTCAACCAGCTTCCTAACTTTTTAATCTTTGTATTTAATAGAGATCATTTTCTGCACTATAGTGAGGCAACTATAGCTGGCACTGTGGCAAATATCCTGTCTGGGGTTTATCAGTTCTTCAGCAAAATATGGCAACTCTGAAAGAAAAAAAAGTGCTGCTAAATCTCAATTTAAGAAAACACACACAAGTTATTAAGAGTTATTGCAATAATTTCATTGATGAGCATTTGTTAAGGGGAAGAATTTTAGTGAGATCCAATTAACAATAGTGATAAAACCAGCGATATGTTTGGTTATATAAAGAACTATCAGGGAACCCTGAAGAATATTCAGTAGTGCTATTCAACAGAAACGTGTTTTACATATGGAGTCTTAACACAACTGTCTTCCTGAATTATCCTCTTCAATATTCAGGGGGTGTTTATTTATCCTTTCAGAGGTTAAATAAAGAATAAAAAGTGGTTAAATGGCTTTTATTTCACACAGATGCACCAAATAATTATCAGTGATCTAATTTTCTCTTTTTGGTTTTAAAGAAATTATTTTATTGCAGGAACAATGGCTTGTGTTGGATTTAAAGTAAGACTTCAGGTGATTGGCAGAACAGTTTGCAATACCTTAGCTAAAAGTCCTAGCTGGAACAGTTAAGACTCAAATATGAAATATCGCTAATCAAGTGCAGACATTTATAATGTTTCTGGCAAATAACTGTCTCCCCTGGGCGTTACTCACCCGATTTAATTAGAAATATTTAGATTAGAATGTAACAGATCTGGTTTATAACCCAATGAGATGAACAGAAACCCAAAAAAGCTGTTGGATTTTTTTTCTCCGTTACCTACAAAAGGAACCTTGGAGCACCCACCCCCCTGGAGAGTTCTGTGTTGCAGAGTCTTGTCTTTGGCCACAGCCTTGTTTCCTCTGTGTAGAAATAAATCCACATTAATTCTTCACTCAGACCAACCTTGGTCTGATACTGAACTTCAGATAATAAATTTCAGTATTTTGGTCTTCCAGCTAAGCAACATTTAAATTCCAAAGAGCAAACAAGCAGCCTTTGCCCTGGAACCTCATTTGTGCTCTACCAGCTCGGTTCCAAATTCTTTGCTGACTTTTTCTAGCCCACTAAGTTCTGCCACATGCCTCAGTCTGCTTTGTATTAGTCCCTGTGCTAGAGCAGCCAGCTTCCCAGGAACTCTTTGCTTCTCTTAGTTCTCTGAGTTTCAGGCAATAAAAAATAGTTCTCCCAAAATGCCTTTCTAAATCTCTCAGATGTAGATCTTGCAAGTTCTGGAGAAATTTGTTTCCTGCACTGGCATATCTTGTAATTTTTTTTTTTTCATGTCTTTCCAGCTATATAAGAAAAAGTAAAATTCAAAAACACAGCTTCATTCATTTAAGGCTGCCCTGGGGATTCTTCTTGGATAACAACTTGGCTGGAGGAGCTACCTTATTCCAAGTCTTGCTTTTATGCCCAAATTTTGGAAGATGAGTTGCAAAATTATCAATTCACACTCATTTTCAGCCAGTGCACCAGGGAATAGCAGACATCTTTCACATTTCTAAAACATTCAAAGCTCCCTCATTCATTTGGAACTTAAAAGATGTAGGAATTGAGCCAAGAAAAGGCAAATAACTGTGAGGTACTGAACTGTGTTCCTGATTCCAGCTGCGTACCTCAACACTCCTGCCCACTCAGAGCATCTTGCAATGGGAAAGCAGCTCCTCCTGTTTTAGCAAACAACACATTTTGGAGAGAGGCTTCGAGGGTGTGGTGTGATCCACAAGGACCTCATCTGAACCAGAGCTTTCCCAATCCCAGTTCATTTCCCCTGGACTCGTGAAGTCTTGTCTTGCAGACTCCAACCTCTCTGAGGCAACCTATTACATCTTGCTGCTTGTAAAAGTGCAAATGTGGCTCCGTGGTCTCCCTGGCTCAGGAATGGCCCTTGTTTCCATGGCTCCAGTGGCACTAAATTATCTGTTTCACAAAGCAAACATGGGGAAGGCAAAAGTTTTTCTGTATAGACTTGTTATGGGGTATCCATGACAGGGAAGAAAACTCTCAGAGCCTTGAACTCCAAAATCTACTTCCTGAGGGATCTGGAGCTCCAGTGATCTAAGCCTTAAGGAATTATGAATGCAAAGCTGTCTTTGCTTGGTGGAATCCTGGATCCAGACACCGTGGCTATATCTGTAATTATCTGGGCCTGGATTAATTCCTAGGGCTCAACTTCCAAATAGCATGGAGTAACTCACACTCGTACTATTAAACCTTCTTGGCCTCCAAAACCAGGGGAGCTGCAGTTTGTGGACTATTGGGAATGTCCTCTGGCTCTTGCTAGCTCCAGATTTGTTCCCCAGGAATAGTTTTGGACTAGATTAGTTTTTGGCCTAGAGCAAAGCTACCCCAAGTAAAATGGAATGGTGTGAGTTCAGACCTGAGCCCTGTCTCTCATTCGTTTACCACCATAAACAGAAAGATTTATTATTCTCAGTGAAGAGGATGAAATGAGTGTCAGTGTGGGTTGCTGTGAAATCTCAGGGTTCTTTTGTTGTGTAGCACAGCAGGGAGAAAAACACTTGGAATTAGTGGAAGTCAGGCCAGTGCTCAGTCACGTGTGTCTCATCCAACAGTCACGGATTTCCAGGCAATGATGTGAAACCCAAGGGCTCCAAGTATCACAGATCTCCCATCTTGTGTTGTCTAAATAGGATTTATTTGTGAGAGAATCTTGCATTCAGAGCTCTCCTCTGCTCTGGGGCCACTCAGTTCACCTGTGATTTCACTTCACCTGAGTCCATTTCCCAGACAGTTTGGAAGGGGATGTTGGAGCAGGAATTTGATGGCTTCAGGTGATGGCTCTGTTCTGTCTGCTGCCCTTAGTGGCCATGGAATCATTTAGGTTGGAAAATGCCTCTCAGATCGTGGAGCCCAGCCAATCACCCAACACTGCCAGGTCCTCCACTAACCCATGTCCCCAGGTGCCACATCTACATGGTTCTGGAGCACTTCCAGAGCTCCCAGTGGTCCCCAGATGCCTTCAAAGCCAACAAGATGACTCCTTATCCATTCAGTATTTTATTTAGACAGCATTTCCATGCAACTTGAGACATTTGCTTTAATTAATAGCCCTTACTTTGTGGAATGTGTCCCTGGGCACTGCAATGGATAAGAGGGTTTTATTCTCTTTTACAGAATAATTCTTTAATCCCTTTCTCAAACATCTCCTGCATCCTGCTTATAGGAGGTGTTCATATTTCTTGTGAATATTTGCATAAACAATAGTCAAAACCATAGAGGGAACAGGAATGTTCTAATGGGAGGGGAAAGTGGGGCTCAGATCTGTGTCCAGCAACAGGTGATGTGCAGCAGAAAATTCAGTTACTTGCTGATCATTTATATATGATTAAACAATGCAGTGAGTAAAGGAACATCTCTCTGTAGTGTCCTTCATATTATAGTCTAAAATAAGTGAATTTACCTTGACAAATTGTTTTTTCATTTGTTTTGTTTTGCACAGGTGCTGGTTTGGAAAAGAGCCAGGGAAATATATTGACTACATCTACCAAGGGCCAGTGATTCTTGTTCTCCTGGTAAGTGTTTGTGTGGGTGGGAGGACACTGCCATCTCCCACTGAGAGGAAATTTGATCTGTCAAGTTCCACATCTGCTTTTATGGAAAATAAGACACAAACAAGGCCAAACATCTTCAGGTGTTCTCTGAAGTGGGTAACACTGCAAGAAGTGATTTGGTTTTGGCTGTTTCTTTGGGTTTAGGCCATTCTTTCCTCCTCCCTCTGCAGTGCTGTTTGCCTTTGTACAAGGTTCTAAGAGATGGGAAGGAAAAATGTTCAAAACTGAGCAAAAATGTTCAAGTGTTCAAATATCTGCTCATCGACTTAGGGCTCATGACAACTGCAGCAATTCTGTCACAGACATTATTTAGAAAAATGTAATAGTCACATCCAGGAATTGCATCTTGCAAGTCCATCTCCATTTTCTCCACCACCATCACTGGTGTGTGTTTGTTTCTAGATTTCCTGTTGTGAAGTTTCCTTCCCAGTGCTGCCCACACTAACCAGGCTGTTTATCTGTTTACCCAACACTCCATCTCTTGTGCCAACCAAGAGTAGGCAGAGAGAGAAGGAAGCTCATTCATGACCCATTTTGAGCCTTCAGCTGAAGCACAATGGTGTTTGTCAGAAAAAAAAAAAAAAATGAGCATGGGTGGAAAGTATTAGTTAGCCATTACTAAAGACAAAGATGAAAGAGTGATTCTACTTTTCCAGGCAGGTGAACCAACAGCAAATTCCCAGGGCTCAGTGGGTTCCCCTCTCTATAGTTGTAGCTGTGCCTTTATGTCACTCCAGCCCCACAGGGAAGGTGCAAATGCTCCTGAACAGGCACCACTGGCAGCTTTCTCAAGACTGAGGAGCCTCACGTTCTCACTTTGTCACTGCCCTGTTCATGGGATTCAGCTTGAAAAACTTCCTGTGTTGCCCAGCAGTTGAGTGTGTGTCCTGAGAGCAGGAGAGTTAATTTCTCTGCTAATTGTTAAGATACAGCAAAAAGTTCACCTGAAAAGAGAAAAAAACCTCCATAATAGGAGTATATTTTTATGTTAAAATTCTTTATGTTCTAAGGAGAGAAATAGCAATGGGTGTGATATATAAAATACAATGTGTGTTGCTGAGGGAGCCATCACAAAACCAGGAAGAGCCTCACAGTAAGTTGACCCCACTGATACAGAGATTCCCTCACAAATAAATCCTATTTAGACAACACAAGATGGGAGATTTGTGATACTTGGAGCACTTGGGTTTCACATCATTGCCTGGAAATCTGTGACTCTGAATCTTCTATAACCCCTTTAGTCCACAGGATTTGTAAAATCATTGAGTAGCATCTCTGACAGATACCATAGAGTCATGAAAATGGCTTTTTTTCTCCCCAGAACAGCACTGTAAATATTTAAAGACCCTAAGAGACCCAGAAGATGAAGGTATAGTTGAGGGCTGCCACTTTCTGTAGAGGTCATTGTATCTGCCACTAATTTGGAACAGCCTTGAGACCCCTCTGAACTGGGCCAGTGTGAAGAGCCCAGACCTGATGCTGTGAATAGAACCTTCCTACCTTGGCCTGCCTGCACCTGAGCCCTAATTAAAACACTAATGAGATAACAGCACTAACTGCACTGTGGAGTGGAAAGGACACGATTTACACACCCTGCCCTCACCTTAGGGTTATTCCCCTCAGAAAGCACTGCTGGGGGAGGAAAGCATCCCTCTGCAAACAAAATCTGAACAGCAAATCTAAAAGCTCCTGTTCCAACACACTCCTGATTCCTGAAATCTGCTCCCCGGCTTTTGTTGGTGTTTTGTTTTGTTTTGTTTTTAATTTAAACTGTCAGTTTGCTTTTGGAGTGTTTCCAATTAAAACCCACAACCCCATGGTGTCTTAAAGCCTCTTGACATGCTCGTTTTTTTGATCCTTATGTGCATAAACTCAAACTGTAGCAAATGATTGAAGCATCACTTGCTGTTATTGGAGTCACTGACCCTTTCAGGGATGCTGTGAAAAGTGCTGGACTGAGAGCACTGAAATTTGACTTCTGCCATGTACTCAGGGCAGCACAGCCAGGTCTCAGATGGGATTGTGCCTCTGCTCTAGCACAGATGGGGACAAAGTGCTGCCTTCTTCTTGCCTCCAGTGAACAGTGGTCACTAGAGGTGGAAAACACAAGGATTTCGAAGAAAGGACAACTCTGTGACCTCTTTCAGTCACTGCCCACGAGTTGGATTTGAACAAATGAGGAATTGAAGTGGAGCTGCAACTGTGTTTTGTGAAAGAACATACAGGACAGGGCACAGTCCTGATGGGACAGGGGGAATGGCTTAAAGATGATGAAGAGGAGATTAAGATTGGATATTAGGATGAAATTCTTCCCTGTGAGGGTGGGGAGGCCAGAGGTGCCCACAGGGTGCCCAGAGAAGCTGTGGCTGTCCCTGGATCCCTGGAAGTGTCCAAGGCCAGGTTGGACAGGGCTTGGAGCAACCTGGGATAGTGGAAGGTGTCCCTGCCCATGGCAGGGGGTGGAACTGGATGGGATTTAAAGTCCCTTCCATACCAAACCATTCCATGATAATTCTGTGAGACAACTATCCCAGGCCTCTGCTGGGAAAATAGACACAAATGTTATAAGAAGAAATTAATGTTATTTCCAAAAGAGGACTAACACTAAAAGCTGAAATTCTAAATACTCCATGAAATTACAGTTCCTGTTCACCTGGAAACACTCCACCTGGGGCAGACAAAATTGGCTTCACCCACCTGAGGGAAGAGCCAGGAGCTGTGTCCAGCTCAGGTGAGCTTTGGTTACCTCTGGACACATCTTTGTGTATTCCAGCAGCATCACTGCACCAACCAGTGGCAATATGATTAGAGTGCTGAATATTCTTAGAGGGATAAAACTTGCTTCTAAAGATGCAATTCTCTTTAAATATCATTTTAAAGGATTTTTTTTTCCTATTAAAAATTATTTCCACTGGTTTTAATTTCTCATTTTCTTACCTCTATGCATTGAGCTGTTGCAGCACAGGATGGTGTAACACAAGGAACAGGTCATGCAGAAGCTCTAAGCCTCAGTGGGAAATAAAGATTGGCCCAAGAAAGGTCTTTGATCATGGCAGCAGCCCTCAAATCCATCTCTAGATCACATTATTGTGTTGTATCTCAGGTACAAAAACCTTGAATGAGGCAGTAGAGTTGATTGTTTGATTGATTGTTTGATTGATTGATTGATTGATTGATTGACTGATTTTCTACTTGTCTGTAGAAGGAGCTTGGAGATTGACTTGGGCTGAAAACAGGGAAACAATTTCAGAGACAATTTCAGAAAAAAAGGAAAGTGAATATAAGTGCTGATTCTGTATATTGGGCATGAAACCTGTATTTTTATTGACAAAACATCTGAGGGAGAAAATGTAGGTAATCTTTTTTTTTGTTTCATTCCTGAATGGATTTTGACTTGTACATATCCCACAAGAGAGCTAATAATTAACCACGTTGGATGCTTTGAAATTTAATTTCTGGTAGCACTAGAAAAACACTCTGTTAGGTATTTTCCTCTTCAAATGAGCACATTGGGGTTTTTAAATTCTGATCTGTTTTCTCAGAGTCACATACCTGAGTTTTAATCACACACCCCTCTGTGAAGCTAAAGAAGGGGCAAAGGGTTGGAAAAAAATGCCGGGGAAGTGAATTTCCTCCTGATTTTATTAAGGAAAATACATTTCTTGTGTTCAATTTTAGATGTAAAACTGCCAAAGAACTGGTGCAACACAGCAGGGTCAGAGGACAGACCTCAGGGAAGAGGCACCAGAGGCACTTACCTGAGCTGCTGCTTCCCTCAGTGACTTCTGCTGTGCATTGACCCCAGCTGTGACCTGCTCTGCAATATTTCTCAGACCTAAGACTGTATAAATTTGTAATTTTTCAAATAGGCAGATCAATTTTTTTCCCCAAAACCTTTCATTCTGTTTTAATTGATTTTTTCTTTTCCTCTTGTGCTTGAGAACTGAACGGTTTTGCAACCTCTGAGGTTCTTGTGTCTGGTTGAAAATAATTCACCACAACCAATTTAGCTGCTGGAGTGAGTGGATGCATGAGGTGGGAGAGAACCTGGAGTTCACTTCTGCCTCTGCCTTCATCATTTTTTAAATTTTGAATAAGTTAGATTGCTGCTGAAAGCTCAGCTTCCCCAGCTATAAAGCCACTTGAATGATTATCTATTTTTTAAAATTATCTATTGAAAAATTACCCTCCCTTGCTTTGAGATTCCTGGATGAAAAGTAGAGGAGTCCTTATTTCAGTGTGGAATTTTGCTCAGGACAGAAAACCACAGATAGCCAAGAGGTCTTGATGTGCTCCTCATTAAAGCTGCAGCATTTTTGTGGTGGCAAGATCAAAGCCAGCCCCAATAATCGAGGTGTGACCACACAAATGGATTTTTACATCAGCATCCTCTTGCCTGGTTTATTTTCTTTCTCGGTAATTCCAGGTGGTTTCTTTGTTTCCTTTCTTCTGCTGGGAACTGAGGTGAGGTTTTCAGGGAGCCAGTGAGTGCAATTCCAGCATTTCTTTTGTGAATGAGAACTCCCAAAGCTCATAACTCTCCATGTAAATCTCAGATTGTTTGTCTCCCCCGTGGTGTTACCTTCACATCAAATGATTTCCCGTGCCAGGTTATTGCTGATCACTCAGTCCCTGAACAGCTCTTTGCAATCAGTCTTTGATTTTTGCTTTTGATTTTTTTGATTTTCTGAGAAGTTTGATGCCACTAAAAATCTGTCAGCCTGTTCTTCAGTGCCTTTTACAGGTCACTGACATTTGTGTGAAACAGCACAGATCTGCTGGTTGCATTTTTCCATTGAGAAATCAGAATAATATATGTGTACATATACATATATATAGGTATTCCTGGTTTTTTTTTCCTTGTCTCCTTATTATAGTGCTCTTCCCTGCAGACCTGCAACAGCCACATTTCTATGGGAACCTTTGGAGTTTGGAATTTTGAGTTCCTTCCAGAGAATTGT